CCAAATACAACGGATCAAATTTCTAGTTTTAAGGGAAGCCCACAATATTACTACACCACAGCACCTCGTAACCCTTAAGGACTGGCAAGTAATTGCTATTTAAAGCGCAATTTTTGCCATTTGTCACGGTTTTTCTCCGTTTTGAATAAAAATCAAAAATTTTCCTTGTTACTTTGATACTACACAATTTTCTATACACCTTTCCATGTTTTCGATGCGTTGAGAGCTCTTATGCGCATATAAACTCGAGTATGAGGCGCATGATGAGCGACCTAGCTCCAGAGTTAAGTAGGGGTAAACGAGCGGCTTGGGGATAAGAGTATCGAGGACGTAGTGAAGGCAACGAAGAACATCCGACTCTGTGATCACCCTCTCGACTTGACGGTTATCCTGTCCTAACGTATGCAGTGGAAACCTCGTCGCTACGTAAGCAGGATAAACGATCACTTAGCGTTACTGAACGCGCAGTGGACAAGTCGATACTAGGAGTACGGCGTATCTCGCAGATGAGAGAAAGGATCCGATGTTCCGACCTACGTCATCGGTCGAAGGGCAAAGACGCCATTCTACACGCCAGGCTATAGAAAATAAGGTGGACCGGCCGTGTAATGCGCTTCAACGACAACCGATGAACGAGAGCCGATACAGACTGGATTACTCGGGATATCAAGCGCTCCACAGGAAGACCATTAACCCGATAAGCCGATTTCTTCGCGAAAAGCCTAGAATAAAGATATGATGCACATAGAATTTCTATATCGATAAGGACCTGCTGGGAAACTCTTGCACGCGACACGGAAAGACGGAAGTGTTGCTGGTACCCTCTAGAGTCACTCGACGAACAACGGATCGAAAGGTGATACATATTATGAGACGTAATTATCTTTTCGCCCTTACAGCGCTCTATAAAAACCTTTCCAAAAACCAAACCCATTTTTGGGAACATCGAGATTTCCAAAAAAGGTACAGAGTAGGAATCCTCAATCCTATACTAGCGAATGTTTACTAGGTGCCTGGAAAAAAAGAGCTCAGCCTCGCGAGAAAAGTACGTGTTCAAAACAAAAACGTCTTCGTTCTAACAAAGTCAAAAAATCTTTCGTTTCGAGTGTTGTGTGTATCGAAAGAGTACTGAAAGCTCAAAAAGAAAGGGAACAAACGCTAGTCGTGCAAACAGTGCACACCAGAGACGGAAGATAATTTGCCCTTGATTGCTACAGCGCACTAAAAGGCTGTTTAAGAAAGCAAGCACAGTATTGAAATTGACTTCTAAAGCAATAAGATAACTCTAAAAGTATAGTAAGAAACGAAAATGTGCTCGACGAGAAAGGCCTCTAGAGCATCGTGCATGAAAAACACGGTATATGAGGCACCGAAGGGGTTAAACTCCATCGGAACGGTGACCAAAGCTCACCGGTGTCTTGTCGTATTATTTCCTGACATACTGATGTACCAACTAGAAAATAACATAAGATAGCAAACCAGTAGAAAGTCAAAGAACTGCAAAATCTACACCAAAGAAACTGGTTGCCTCTCACGATGCTCCAATAAAGGTGAATTGGCCAGGACATCATCATGGTGATTAAAAACTGGCGCAGAACATTTTGCTCTACTCAAAAAAAACGAAAGGAAGAACGAGACCAGAGATATCATCAATGTTGATTAGGAATCCCGTCCATCACAAGGCGATAAATGAACATTCGACCCTACTCACTGGACAAGATTTTTCCACAGACATGTTAGTGAGTGTTCGAAAGCATAATTCTCTGGCTAGCGCGCTACGAGGCCGATTTTTCCAAATTATAATGTTGTAAGACTCAAAATAAATTTATGTTTCACATCGGCTGCGTTATTCAACTGAAAATCCTATAGTCAGAGTTATACGTAGGACCTGGAGTCTCTTACAAAGCGAAGAAGCAATTCCTAACTGAATATCAAACATCGCACTTTCATACGAGAAAATCGATCGATATCGCGTCAGGTCTCCTTGTCGCCCCAACCCGCGGCCCGCGAACTAAAAACACATAGTCGCGTATCTAAACAAACCTTGTTTCCGAGCTACACTGCAGAGAAACGGTCTTTCCAAAAAAAGGTACAGAGTAGGAATCTTTAATCCTATACTAGCGACTGTTTACTAAATGTTTACAAAAAAGAGCTCAGCCTTGCGAGAAAAATACGCGTGAGAAACACAAACGTTTCCCTTCTGTAACAACGTCAAAAAAGGTTCTTTTTCAAAAACCGGCTACTCACCGCGCTAGCCAGAGATTTAAGCTTTCGAATGATTACTAACACTCTCATGAGAAATTATTGTCCAGAGAATGGGGTCGAGTATTCTCTTGTCGTCTTATAATGGACAAGTACCATAACCAGATGCAGCGGCAATCGAGCGAGTAGAAGCACGATGAATTTTGTAAAGAAGACTACCTTGGGCAGTTCCAGTTCGTTCATTATCATTTCTAAGTCGTCCTTTTTGATGTTCACTACTTTTCGAACCGGCTGAAAGCGTAAATATCCTTGAGGAAAAGTTTCACAAAGAAAAATGTTGAGTAACTTACATAGAGATCTATGAATAAGGGCTGACTTATAGAGCCCGATACACGTGTTTCGACCTTGCGATCTCGTCAGTCGGGCAGTTGCCCTTTCTCGTCTTTTGCTAATCTCTGTGAGCGCTCCAGTCCCCACAATAAGAGTTAGCGACGACGAACGCTTTACACTCTCTGTCCAGCGAAAAACTCATCAAACACAGAGTGTTGTACACTCGATTGCTCATGGCTAATATATTCAATAAATCATATCTTTCGCTTTGAGTGTTTTCTTAAGACCACTGCTCAAATTTCAATATGCCTGATAATCATTATTTGAGCCACGCATGTCAGTGGTCTATCAAAGAGGGCTGACTTTATTTCGTGTGTTCGTCGTCGCTAACTCTTAGTGTAGGGACTGGAGCACCCACAGAGATTAGCAAAAGACGAGAAAGTGTAACTGCCCGACTGACGAGATCGCAAGATGGAAACACGTGTACCGGGCTCTATAAGTCAGCCCTGTTTGTTAGACCACTGACATGCATGGCTCAAATAATGATTATCAGGCATATTGAAATTTGAGCAGTGGTCTTAAGAAAACACTCGAAACGAAAGATTACATAGAGAGTTTGATGATGAAGAGAAAAGACTAACGTTGCTCGTGATAAATGGGGAAGATAAGAATACCTGTTGTGGAGTTGCAATGATTTTCCCCAAAGCGTCCGAAGACATCCTCAAATCGTCTTTCTCTTCCTCTACAACATTCACCTGAAAGACCACAAATCAACAGTATGTTATAGTCCTTTCTTTAACATTACTATCCGTCTCCACGCTGTTTTCTTTTAGCTGTACGGATCCTAGTACCTCGAGCACTCAATCGTTTTTTCGCCTCCTTCTTCGTAGACTAGTGGCAGAGCGAAACTTCGTAGAATCTCGAAGATAGCCTGGCTATGGCTTTTTTGATCCTTTTGAGACCGTGTGCCCACGACCTCTGCATCCCTAACTGGCTACTCTGGACGGTCTGCTCCACCTTCTCTACATCTCTAACCCCAACGTGCTGCGTCTAACAATGGCACTCTTGCGTAAAACAACAGCACGCTGTTGCGTCTAACGGTGGCACGCTGCGGGTCAGAGATGAAGAGGGCGTGGAGCAAATCGCCCCGAGTTGTCAGTTAGAGATGGAGGTCATGAGTCTACGGTCGCAAACAAGGTTAGATTGCTCACTGTTGACTCACGGAGAGCGCTGGGAGTCGTGGTTTGACTCCACGAGCGCCACGACGAGCATCATAACCACTCGAGTACGGCGCCATTCATGTGATATTTACAAGTTGAAAAGTCTTTTCGAAAAACCTCCTCGATTAATAAAAACTTTTTTTAGGAGGTTTTTCTAAGGAAGTTCTCCTACCTTTTCAAGATCAGCCGCTCCCCAATTGTGCTTGTTGTCGTTTTGTTTGACAACTTCGTCAGGTAATCCATCATCTTTGTCAACCATCGGTGAATCTATTCACCTAAAAATTATAGATAAAGCTCTCAGGGAGATTCGAAAAACAGAAAACATAGCGAATATACGAACCGCTCGAGGTTAGAAAAAACCCCACAACTGTAAATTTCTTCTATTCAAAACATGACATTTAACCTTCGCTAAAAGGTAAATCTTGAGCGAAATCGTGGCAATGGCAAACATCTACGAGAATATTTTCCATACAAGTTTCAGTCTATTTTATAACTGTTTGTTAACTATTAAAATTACGAATGTATTTCCAAAAATATTGGAAGCGGTATAGCACAGTGGTTAATGACGCAGTGCAATAAGCAAAGCAAGTGGTTCGATTCCTCTCCCAACACTTTAATTGTTAAATTTTATTTCTACTTATCTGACCCCCACTTGCGGTGGTACGACCTTGTAATATTCCCAAAAATGTGGAGTGCTGTGCAAAAACATTTGCGTTAGCCGGGATTCGAAACGAGTGAGATCTGGGTTCGAATCCCGGTCGACGCAAATGTTTTTTGTCAATTTTTACTAATTTATTTATTATGTGCTTAACCCGTCATCACAATTTTTGTTAGGAGGATCCCAGTACCCTCAGTAATCGATTCGTTTTTCGCCTTCTTCTTGAATGACACAGAATACTGGTTGAGCAAGTCTCGTTGCACTCTCGAGGATAGCCAGGCCGTGGCGTTCTTGTTGACTGCCGGAGGGGGGTGGGAGTGGAGCTTGGCTCCACTCGCGTCGCGACGAGCATCACAACCACTCGGCCACGGCGCCCCTTGATTGTCAAAATGCTCTCTAAACACAATAAACAAGTATAAATTCAAGGATAAAGTATTGAGAACATACCGAAAAATCGGCTCACGTCAACCTTGGCATTGCCATTAGCTATATATCCTTGATTTGTGGTTTGTCACTAACACAAGGCTGACAAGAAAGAAAAAACAATAAAGAAAAAGTGTGTCGAAGAGAACTGAGTGATGAGCAAAACCTGACCTCAGGCGGAAGTTGAACCCGCGTTCCTTCCATAGTGGGAACGCGTGCTACCACTACGCCACAGAAGCATCGTTTCGCTACCACTCATTCTTCAAATCTCTATGATAGCTATCAGCCACTGACCTTTAAGTGATTTGGTCGGGTTAGCAATATCGCTTATATCAAAATATTTCGCTTTAATATCAAAAAAATTATATAATAATAATATAATAATTTATTAATAAAATAATTATGGAAAAATAATAATTCAATAAAATAATAATTTGATATGATAATTTAATATGTTTTATATATTGATTTTTTAATATCGCTTTATATCAAAATTTATAAACTTCTAGTTGGTAAACTTCATATTGAAAATATTTGCAAAAAATGCATCCCAAAGGATCCGTACTTTCGACCTTCAAATTTCGGCTGCAAACATAATAAAGTGCATTTTATTCAATGTTGGCATAGAATCCCAAACAAATGCAAATTGGACACGCCCATTGGGCCGATCGATAGAAGAGGAAAAAAGAGATAAAGAGAAAAAAGAGAAAAAGAGAGGAAAGAAAAAAAGAAAGGAAAAAGAGAGAATGACGTCATCGGTATAGACTTCTGGTACGTCAGACTTGTAATACGTCAATCAATTGACGGTGGAGCGCTCCGCCGGGCCGGCCGGTGGCGATGGCACGGTTTGAGTTGGGTGACCGACCACCTCCTGCCCAGTGTTCTTTCGGGGGTTCCCGGACCCGCTTCGGGTTGTCGTCTTAGGCTTGGGACCATTTGTAGATCACAAAGTGCCTCTTCAGTCCCCCATACTTCTCTTTCTTGTGGGCCTTTCAGATTCGGGGGAATTTCCTGGTCCCTTTCCCGCCTTCCCTGCCTCCTTTGTCTCTCTTAGGCTTAGGCTTATCTAAGGTCTTCTCTTGTCTGTTTTTTTCCTCTTTATCTTTCTCTTTCTTCTTATTTCTCTCTTTTTCTCTTTCTGCCTTCGCAAAATGTCCACGCTTTCTGTGATCCTCTTTGTTGTGGACCATCAAATCTTGGAGAAATCCGTGGTCCCTCTAGCCCCCCGGTCATCTTTAGCTTGGCTAGGTCACAAAGGGTTCTCTTCACTTACTATTGATGTAAGCTTTTCGGCTTTCGGGAATGCTCCGGGTCCCCCACTTAGCCCCTTGTCTTCTTAGGCTCGTCTTCAATCTTATGTCATTTCTTACTTTTACTTTTTCTTTTCTCCTTTTTTCTTTTTTTTTTTCTTCTCTACCTTTCATCTTCACAAAGTCTTCTCCACGATTTCTATACTTCCCTTTGTTTTGGCCCATCAGATGTAGGGAATTTTCATGGTCCCTTTGTTCCCTAGTCGTCTCAGGCTTAGGCTTAGGCTTATTTGCATATCTCAATATCTCCTCTGCTCTTCCTATACTCCTTGTTGTGGACCCTTTAGTTTTCGAGAAAGATCCTGGTTTATTAGGCCCTTGCCTTCTTAGATTTAAGTTTGTCTTCAATCATTTGTCTTCTTTTTCCTCTTTCTTTCTTTCTTTCTTTTCTTTATTTTCCCTTCTTTTCTTTCCTTTCTTTTCTTTCCTTTCTTTTATTTTCTTTCCTTTCTTTTCTTCCTTTTCTTTCTTTTCTTTCTTCTCTTTGTTTTCTTTCTTTTCTTTCCTACTTTACTTTCTTCCTTTCTTTTCTTTCTTTCTTTTTCTTTTCTTCTCTTTTCCTTTTCTTGCCTTCTTTCTATCTTCACATGGTCGTCTCTACGCCTTTTGTGATCCTCTTTGTTGTGGGCTCAAATCTCGGAGAATTCGCTGATCCCTCTAGCCTCCAGTGGCTTAGGCAGATCACAAAGTGTTCTCCTCTTTTCCGTTCAGATTTTGGAAAAATTTCTGGTCTACTTAGCTCCCTGACTTCCTAGGCCTAGGTTTGACTTCAGTGTTCTGTCATCTGTCTTCTTTTCTCTTTTTCTTTCTTTCTTCTTCACAGAGTCTTCCCCATGCTTTCTATATCCCTCATTGTTGTGGGCTCCATTAGATTTCAGGGAATACCCTGGTTCCTTCAGCCTCCAGACGTCTCAGGCTTAGGCAGATCACGAAATGTTTTATTTGCTTCTTTTGATATGAACCTTTCAGATTCTAGAGAAATTTCTGGTCTACACTTGTTTTCTTTGTTTTGCCTTCAATCTTCTGTCATCTGTGTGCTTTCTTCTATCTCTTTCTTCTTTTTTTTTCCTTTCTTCCCTCTCGTCTTTCTACCTTCACAAATTCTTCCCCACGTTTTCTATGTTGCTTTTTTTATTAAGGGCCATCAAATATCGGCAGATTTAGTGGTCCCTTTGGTTCCCATTGTCTTACGCTTAGGCTTAATCACTGCAATTTCTGTGCACCTCTTTGTTGTGGATCACCGAGTTTCCGAGAATTTCTTGGACCCTTTAGCTCCTTAACGTTTTAGGCTTAGATCTGCAGAGCGTTAAGACTCCCACTCTTCCTATACTGCTACTAGTTATGGACCATCAAACTTGGAAATTTCTTCTGTCCCTCTAGCGTCTTATCGCCTTAGACTTGGGCTTATTTGCGCATCACAAAATCTTCTATACTCATCCTAAGCTCTTTGATGTGGGCCATCAAGTTTCGGACAATTTCCTGGTCCATATAGGCCTCATTGGGCCTCATTGGCTCAGGAGCAGATAGTCTGTCTAGTAAACAGAAGGTCGCTGGTTCGATTCCAGCATGAGATATCTGTTTTAGAGGAGCGCATGTGGCGCAGTGGTTAGAGGTGCGCTGCGTCACACACGAGGTCAATGGTTCGATATCGCGCTCATGGCTCACTAAGCCTTCCATCCCTCCGGGGTGGGTAAATTGGTACCAAACAGGTCTCAGACTTGTCTGGGAGGGTAAGCAGCACTGACTCGGTTTAGCGGGAGGCCACCGCGAGTTATTGTAAAGGCCAGATATGCATTCAATCACCTCAAATGAAGTTAAAAATTGAAGTCGAATGCATGGCGCATCCCTCAGGGATTGATCAACGCCGAGAGCTTTATCCTTTATCCTTTTATAGGCTTATCCTTCCGCTTAGACCTGACCTTCCAGGCTACGCTTGGTTCTGCAGCTCGAAGTTTCGTGGTCCATTTAGGCTTAGGCTTGTTTGTACGTCTCAAAGTCCCTGGCCTTCTTAAGCCTATCGTTCTGCTTGCGTTTGTTTGTACAACTCAAAGCTGTCCATTTAGGCTTATACCCATTTAGGCTTATCATTCTAAGCTTATGCTCATATGCACAGCACCACAGCCTTTTCATACTTCCTATACTCCTGTTTCTTTTGGGCTATCAAATCTCGGAAAATTCCTTGATCTCTTCAGCTTTCTATCGTGGCAGACCTATGCTTGTTTTCACAGCGCTAAGGCCTTCTCTGCACTTTTTATTATTTTTATTGTGGGCCATCGAATTTCGGAAAATTTCCTGATCTCTTTAGCGTTGTCGTCTCAGCCTTAGGCTTGACTTCTAGGTTCTTTCTAGTTATGAGGGACAAATAAAAAACTGATCTGATTTGCTGAGAGAAACTTTCCATAGGAGTATTAGTAACCGATCGAAAGCTGAGACTTCATTCTACAGCCCCACGTCGTCGGTTTTGAAATAAACCTTTTTTGACATTGCTACAGAAAGAGTTTTTCTTGTGTTGTAGACCTATGATCATCGATTTTCGAGCATATGAAAGTGTAGAGAAGTTTCACGTCAGCAATTCACCTGATCGAATTACCCACCGGCATGTGATTTGGCCAAAGACCCCTTTGCTCTTGTATGTGAATTCAGGTTATCTTCCTTGTTGCCTTGTAGAGAAACGTTCTTTCCAAAAAATAAGCACAGCATTGGAATCAGCATCGATCACGCTATCGAGTGATTAATTTCAGTTCGAAGAAAGAGCTCTGTCCGGCAAGAAATATGCGCGTCTGCAACGCATGAAATCTCCTTTTGTAGCAACGCAAAGAGAAGGCTTTTTCCTAGACCGGCGACGTGGCGCTGTAGCCTGAAGTCTCAGCTTTCGAATGGTTCATAACATTTCTGTGAAAAGTTCCTCTCTAGCGAATGAGATTGGTTTTTTATTTGTCCCCTTATATCTGAATAGTACCTCCTCTGTCTTCTTCTTTCTTTCCATTTTTTCTTTATTCTCTTTTTTTCCTTTCTTTCTCTTCGATGAAGTCTTTTACAACTTTTAGACCCTTTATTGTGTGTAGTACCATCAAAATCGTCTATAGAACGATGTTCTTCTTAGGACGAATATAATGGTTTCATTGTTCATGATTGAACAACCCTTAGCACTAGAACAGTGCTTGTCTTGTCGATTGATAGAGCGCTATAGCGCAGTGTTTAGAGGCGCTCTTTGGCACACATGATCGGTCGATCGTTGGTTTATAGTTCGCTTCCGCGCTCAAGGTCATCAAGCCTTCCATTCCTTTGGTGTCGGTGATTGGTACTACATTTATTTGGGTGGATCGTAGCACTGACTCCATTCATCGCGAGTCGTTGTAAAGGCCCGATATGCGTTCAGTCACCTCAGACGAAGCTATGAATGCAGTCCAGTGCGTGGCGCGTCCCTCAAGATTTAATCGACGTCCAAAGCTTTTCTCCTACTGCTCGATTTCTTCCTGATATCGCGATTATTCAGACACCAGCTTGTTTCTCTTCGGTCTCTTTGAACAGTTACAGCTTTTCTTTCAGCTCTGGTTGATAAATATTTTAAGGATTAAGCAACGAGATGGATGGAAACGAGGGTATCGCGGTCGGAGTGGCACCGATCGAGGTGAGACACTTTCTGTATCACTGGTTCAATCCATGGTTTTGAATAGTTATGAAGCTTTCCTCATACGAAATATACCTAGTGGGTTAGCAAGAAAGTTTCAGTATTTTTCGTTTTTGTTATTATCTATATTTCAAGCATTTGCGTTTTTGTTTTTATTATCGGTCAGGAGCGCATGTGGCGTAGTGGTCAGAGGTGCTCTGCGTCGCACACGAGATCGTTGTTTCGATCTCGCGCTTATGACTCACCGAGCCATCCATCCCTCCCGGGTCGATAGATTGCTACCAGAATGGTCTCAGACTTGTCTGGGAGGATAAAGAGCACTGACTCGGTTCAGCGGGAGGACACCGCGAGTCATTGTGAAGGGCAGATGTGCATTCAATAACCTCAAACGAAGTCAAGAACTGAAGACGAATGCATGGCGCATCCCTCAGGGATTGGTCAACGCTAAGAGCTTCACCCTTTATCCTTTGATTATCGTTTAGAGCAGTTTATTGCTGTCAGTTTTATGTATAAAACTTATACATTCGTTCTAAGATGGAATTGCCTCGATAGCAAAAATGATTATTAATGCTACACGAGTATCGTTTAAACCAACCTTGACAAAGAGCTTGCCAACTTTATCATGGACGGCCGGCTCCTTGCTTGTGCATAAAATCTCCATTTCCAGCTTTGATTTCATGGAAATGATTGAAAACTGCAGTTGCCTTAAATCTTCCGTCACCTCAGGCCTCAGTCCGACGGAAATTTTCAGCAGCACTTGAACCGAAACGACACTCGTGCAGCATCAGCAATCTTTTTTGCTTTTGAGGCAATTCCATCTCAAAACAAAAGTACAGGTGTTACATATCAAAATAACTGCGAGAAGCTGCTCTAAACCGAAGTATAAAAAAAGCTTCAATGCCTGAAAAATAACCAACAGAAAAGAGAAAGTCCGGAAAATTTCTTGCCAACCCAATTTGACGATGCTGAAGGCGAGTATCTTATGACCATAAAATTTATTTGATGAGCCTTTTAAAAATCTATGAATCTTGCGGTGAGAGTAACACAGGTCAAGGTGAATCAAGAGCTGGCCTCTTTGAGCTTTTTTGCGTTCCACTTATGAGTACCGATGACAAACTTTTGAGTAAAAAATGCTATGGGAGAGGAGGCGTAATGGAAAGGAATTGAACAATGAGAGGGCAGGGTATAGTCCATGATCATCGAGTTTTTTTTGTAAGAAATATAATTATGAACTACTGAAGGCAGTATCCTTTGTACCTTTGATGATTCTTGCAAAATCGTAGAGTGTGGTTGTCGAAGTTGCAGAAGATTGAGGTGAGACGTGTAGTTCATATTACTAGTTTCCTAAGAGTTTTCCCATTTGGACCCGGCTACCTGAATTTTTTTTTTTTGCTTTTTATTATCTATTGTCGCCAACAAGTGAAAATTCGCTCTGAAAGTTATAGGAGGCATAGTACTGGACAAGTTAAGCAGTCAGTATAGGGATTAGTCTACGCTTATGGAGGGTTTTTTCATAGGAAACGCCACTGTGATGCTTACTGACCGCGACTACCATATGTACCATGAGTTTGTCGATTCTTCTTTGTTATCTGGCGAAAAATGAAGAAACGACTCTTTTCGCTGGAAAAGAACTTTTCATACGAGTGTTAGTAATCATTCGAAAGCGTAAATCTCTGGCTACTGCTCTACGTGCCCCTTTTTTGAAGAGACTCTTTTATAACCTTTTAACACTGAAAATGAAATTATGTTTTAGACCGGCCGCGCATCTCACCAGCTCCGCTGGAAGTACGAAAAGCATATGATCTTGAAGAGGAAATCTTATAGCATCAAAGTCACACTTTTTCTTTGGAGTTTCTACCAAATGGGGGAAAAGTCTTGATTTGAATTTTAAAAAATTGCGCTTCACATGTGTAATTCATCAGCAAGTTCGATCGATTGCTATACGGAATCGACGGCCAGCATCCCCTCGCCCATCCCCCTGTCTATGCCCAGCCCACACTTCAGCCGAAAAACAACGCCAGCGTATGCGACACTCAACCTTATTTTCCCTGCTACAATGCAATCAAACGGTTTTTTCAAGAAAACACGCACAGCATTGGAATTACTGAAACCCAACCTATCAAATGCTTACTTATAGATTGGTGAAAGAGCTCTGTTTTGCACGAAATGTGAGTTTTGTGAAACGCACATGTTTTCTTTTTGCTAGCCTCGTAGTGCAGTAAAGAGATACTTAAGCTCCAGAACAACTACTAAAAGTGCAATGGAAAGCGAGCGTCTTGGTCTAGCGAAAAGGATGGTTTTTTTCGCTTGTCTTTAGATAACAAAAAAAAAACCGATTTCCCTGGTGCTTCCTGAGAAATCTTGGAAATTGAGTTCTAAAGATCATATTGGTATATCATGCTGTTAACCATGATGATTATAGTGTTTCTCCGCTAATCTACTTTTTTTATATCCCGAGATAGTGAAGAAATATGCAGTTTCTACCCCAAGTAGGAATTGAACCCGCGTTCTATATCAACGACGCGTGCTACCATTACACCACCGAGACCACCACTGTGTCACAATTTTCCACAATGTAATTCATCGGAGCTATCAACAACCAATCGTTGATGGGTTTTGGTCCGTTGGGACACAAACGGCATCAGAGCCAATCAAGCCGACCGCTATCTAATGTATACGATATAGTTCACAAGAACTCTTATTTTACCGCTCTTCTAGCAGTGGTATGGCGTTCTTGTTGTACACCTGAGAATATTCAGTGATATCCAGAGGTTTCAACCTCACTCGGGAGTTGAACACGCGTTTCATCCATCCATGCCGGTGGTGCACGCTACCACTACACCACTGGAACCGTGGCTCTGCTACCACTGTTTTCAGTCGATCTTATAGCGAGACATGTTTCCGGTTTTTGCAAAAATGAATCATATGTTACTAGATTAGAGACAGGAGGACGCTGTAATGATGTAACGCCCCACTAACGCAGGGGAATGACGATGTCGGTTCGTTTTAGTTGACAGCCAGGATCTACAAGTGTGTCTTTCCCCTCTGCCTTCTCTTACCTGTTCTTCATTTGACAGTAACTTCGTAATTGAAAGACTCAGGCAGCAGCAGCAGCTCGAGTATGTCTCATCTCTACTAGTCAGTTGAGAGAGAGAGAGGAGCGTTGCATGTTCTCTCTCTCTTTTGATATCGATAGTCGGTGGTCGGTCGGCGGGCGCTCAATTAGGGCCGAGCGGCGGCTGGAAAAAGTCTGTTTGCCCTCGCTGGTGGCAGCCCCCGTTCGCGAATTGTTGTGAAACATCATCGTCAGTCGAGCCATCATTGTGCGGCGTGGTTATTATTGCTATCGCTAGTCTCACATATCGTCTGGTGAATGGATAGCTCCAGTCCGTCACCAAGTCCTGTCCCTGCCAAAGAGGTGATTTGTGAGAAAGAGAGCTTCTAATGTGAAGGTGTTGTGTTTCCAAGCGTGTATCTTCTTTTTCTAAGAAACGTATCTGGAAATAGTTCTTCATAGTGTGAAAGAAATGTTAGCGCTTGGTGACATCCTCTAGCGCATTAATGACAGTGGCTTCAGCAGTAATTTGCCAAAAATCGGCTTTCTTTTAACCTATATATCATGAATTCATCTCAATTTTCTCGTCCTCGTCATCGTTTTGTTCCAGTCGAATCGTCATCGGTGGTATTCGGTTGGCAAGAAATTTTTCGGACCTTTTTTTGTTGATTATTTTACATGCATTTCAGCTTTTATTCTTGCTATCGTTTAGAGCAGCTTCTTACAGTTATTTTGATATACAACACTTATACATTTGTTTCGAGATGGAGTTGTCCCGAGAGCAAAAACGATTGTTGATGCTACACTAGTATCGTTTAAACTAAGCTTTGCAAAGAACTTGCCGGCTTTCTTATGGGCGGCCGGCTGCTTATGCGTTCAAATTTGCATTTCCAGCCTTGAATTCATCGAAACGATCAAAAACTGCAGTCTTTCCAAGTGTTACGTCACTCCTGGACTCGTTAATCCGGTGAAGAGTCTCACCAGCACTTGATCCCAAGCGATACTCGTGTAGCATCAACAATCGTTAATATGTAAGTGTTATATACCAAAATATTCGCAACAAAGTGCTTTAAACGAGTATAAACAAAAATTTTGAAGCATGAAAATAATTCGAAATTTTCTTACCAATCCAGTAGATCACAACGAGAACGAACAGCTGTGAACAGTCGACTCTGAAGGAGACGAAAACGTTGAAACTTTAGCTCAATGGATTTTACCTACTAACCTTCTGGTATGAGCTAAATCATAAAGGAAACTATCAATCACATTTGTTGCGTGCGGTATACGTATCATAAGAGGTAGTTCTCCAACTCTGAATATTGTTTTTTAATGCTTATTGAAATGGTTTCGTAAATTTACATCTTGGTTAACTGGTTTGATGTCAAAAAGACGCAGATTCATCCTTCTACGGCGATATTATGGACATCATTTGATAGGAAGTCATCAAAACTTAAGATGTTTGCTATATGTTAAAAGTATACTGTAGTTATTACTAGAGATCAGTTTATTGCAGTCGTCTATTTGAGGTGGCGATAGCAACGAAGGAGTCCGTAGCAGAGTATGTGAAGAATGCGGGTTTGGCTTTACTAGGTTCGTCAACCAAAGCAGCTCAGCTGGAGATCGTTTTGGAGGAATCCGACGCCCTTGTGAAGTTCATCACTGATCCGCAAACACATGTTCTCGTTGTCGATAGGACAATCCACAGAGGTGAGTCAGTCGCACAGTTTTGTCGTTTAGTTTTTCTTCGTTGTGAGATCTCGTTGATCCTAAAATTGTTTTTGAGCGAAGCTCGGAAGTGGTACACCACTAGTGTGCACCCGTATGTAACACATGCTGGGATATTATCTGTATATTTGCATATATTTACGAGTGCTCTGTGACACACCTTTGGTTCATGGTTCAATCGGCATCCAAGGCTCACCAAGCCATCTATCGGAGTCGGCAAATTGGTACCATACTTGTTCAGGAAGACAGCAGACTGGCTTGATATATTGATAGGCCACTAAGAGTCTTGAAGGCCAAGTATGCATTTATTTGCCTCAGACGAACTCGATAAGCAGAGTCGAATGCCTGGCGCATACGTCAGGGATTGATCGACGCCGAGTGCTTTTTTTATATATGCGTGTATCTATGTAATGTTCAGGAAAAAAAGTGACCACGAAGAGTTAGGCATGAAATAATGACAACTCTGCTGCGGTTTCAAACGATGCTACTTTCTTCATGAGGTCATTATTGTTTTTAATAGGACAGTGTGGAGCCAAATACATAATTAGGATATGTATGTGTACATATGTGTAAATATGTACATATATGTATATATATTCATATATACGCGTATATGTTTATGTACATGTACATGTACACACATGCATGTTTATATTATATTATATATATATATATATATATATATATATATTTGTATACTTTTGTGTTCATGCATTTGCATGCATGCTAATATATACAGACTACGCGTACATGTAAACGTGAAGATGTGTACACATATACGTATTTGCATGTACATGTGTACATATGTACATATGTTTGTACATGTACATGAAAATACATCGGTACATAAACATATATATATATATATATGTTTGTATATACATATGTATATATACATAAATACAATGATAGGAGCAACAAGAATTATTTTCATTACATCCCTGCATTAAACGTATCACACTGTCAATTCCAGCACTTTTTCCATGCAACTTGGTACCTGACATCCATCATTCACGAAAGTGAAAGTCTCCGAACTTCTTGTAATGTGTGACCTCGAGTGCTGCCCGGACTTTTTGCATTTCTCTTGCACAATTCTTCTGAATACTGGTTTAGTTCATTATCGATGAAATACTGAGATAACCGTGCAAAGGAGCTTCCGTGAATAAGGGGGAGAGGTAATGGGCAAATATCAGATAAGTCTGCTACCATCACCCAATCTTCGGAGGCATAGGAACTCTAGCAGGTCTAGAGTTCGCTCGAAGCGTAACTTGGGTAGTTTAGACCATCCGCACAATGAAAGAGGGCTACAATAAATAAGTTCAATAAACGAAACTTTGCATGATTGTTTAGATCGTTTAAGAAGTGTCTAGGCTGCTATCTCAAAGACACAATCAATAATAAAGCATTTGCTATGACCTGTTTAACTGAATTATCAATTGGATCCACTTTAGACCTTAATGTTCGGAGATTTTTATGAATTTGACAGCGTCTCGTAACCGTATTTTGCTCTCTGAAGGAGTTTTTTAAATCTCAGCTCGCCTATCTCGGAAAACATCTAAAAGTGCATGGGCATCCGGATGTGTATGTATTCCAGATCAGTCGGGAGATGCTGACACTGGAGATGAGAGTGAGACCGCTTTGGCAGTGTTTACGGTGCGGAACGATGTCCTTTACAGAACGGATCGAAGTACATCCATTGTATTCATAAAGAAGGGTGGAATCATCGAGGCCGACAAATCGATTCCAGACCAGCTAAGAGTGATGGTGTAAGAGATTACTATTCAGCTGTTTTTTTTTCTGACTGAAGCCAGAATTTTTTTCTGTACGACAGAAGTATGGGTTGGATTAGACGGTTCATTCGCACCGCTCATAAGTTGTGTGGAAGATTCCAGTACTAATCAAGCAATGACCAAATTCAATCCTTATTAGCTTGTTTAGGATCAATCTTTTTCTAGACTGAGCGAAGGCAATCCTTGTGAGACTTTATGCGCACTTATTGGTAGAGCAGTTACACCGTACTTCAAATCGTTCATAAAAGAAAGCGGTCGAGGCGAACGAGATGGCGACAAACTGGCTCCTATTGTTGAGAAAAACCTCAATGAGGCAGAGGCTCGTATATGTCTTGTTTTGATTCGCTCATACCTCAGAATCCCGTGGGAGAGTGGCATTGATTTCAGGTTGCATTACTTCATCTGCAACAGAACATCGATATACCAGAAATAAACCTTGTCATCAATCCGCACATTCAGGCTGCAATTCAGAAGGCCAGCAAGGAAGGTAGAAAGGCAAAGGTTAGTGTATATCGAGCTGACCTTTGATAACTGAAAGCTTGTGACGAGTTGAAAATCATTCTTTAATTAGACATGTAAAACTGTAAATTGATATGTAATATATTCGACCGAGGTGGGAAGTGAACTCGCGTTCAAGCCATGCCAGGAGCGCACCCTATCTCTACACCACTGAGGCCACAGCGTTGCTATCACACTTTCTTCAGTAAAACAGAGAATCCGTTCATTTTTTCTCTCTCTGTTGCAGGTAGCTGATTTGGGCGATTTGGTAGAAGACGCACAGTTCCTGAATAGTCTACAATCAGGAGTAAACAGATGGATCAAAGAGATAAGAAAGGTTTGTTGTACCACTTGAAGATTGTCGCAATACATTTTTTTATTCTTCTAAATTTTTTCACTTTAGGTAACAAAGCTGGAACGAGATCCAGGCTCTGGGTCATCGTTACAGGAAATGGCTTTTTGGCTAAATCTGGAGCGCGC